TTTTTTTAGGACGTGTCACTGAATGACAGGTAAATTTAGCTCTCTGCTCTGACCAGGCCGTTATTGTCATAAAACGGGACAGATGGACCCAGCATTCAATGTGAGACAGTCAATAGGAAAGTTCAAAACATTTATTAAAACGAAACAGACTCAAAAGGAACAGAAGCCCGGAGCTGTGGGACTGCGGACCATAGTGGCTGCAGAAAGGGGACAGGGAACCGGCGAATCACTGATACTCTGGAAGGAGAAACAGAGGTACATGACCACGATTATCTGACCGAATATGATTATCCAAGTGAGTCATTTACCAGGCCATCCTCTCAATCATGGGCAGGATCAGCCGATGCATTGCCGACGAGATGCGTCTCTGAGCCGTCCGAAGTGTCCCCGATACAGCAACCCCAGTGAGCAGGCAGGTATCCGATCAAGGTCAGGGATTCAGATCAGACAGGAACAGTTTTGGACTGTTCCTGTCTGATCTGATCTGATCTGTTCCTGTCCTCACCCCGGTCAGGGGTTCTGACCCACAAAGGAGTGGACAGACCAGGTTCCAGGAATCCACAGAGCATGAAGGCAGGTTTAGAGTCCCGTGCGTTGAGCAACCAGCTCAGACAGAAACGCACCGATGAAGACAGGCAGAATCCAGCAGGAGTCCAAAGGGGGTTCAGGCAAACAGATCAGACAAGAACAGACAGAACCAGTGGTTGAGAGGGAACAGACTCAGGAAATCAGAAACACTAGGAAACGCTGAAAAGCTCTCACCACCGGCTAGGGAATAAACTCGCCTGGAGACAAAGGCTTGAGAATAATCTCCTTACTGGAACAGGGATATAAACCTTGGGAATAAATCTAACCAACAACGCAAACAGAAATCAAATCTCGGTGCGGTCAACACAAATATAAAGCAGAACCAACAGGTGGATGAAATGAGTTATAATTAGGAGCCAGGCAGAATAAAGCAAGTAAATGACAATTAAGGCCAGCTATCAGGGTAGATCATAACAGTTATTACTCATAGATGTGATCTAAACAACTTCACATTAGCTGTACATTTAGGTTTTACTTCCACTGGAAGACTAACCTTTGGGGTGAGGTATTGACCAGCCTTTCATATGTTTTCTGCCGCTGCTGAATTAAATCCTTTAAAGGTATAATGGAGGATGTTCTTTTTCCGGGTGGATTATCAAAATAAGTGATCCTCCTAATTGTCAATCATTTTGGTGACATGTTTACGTAAGGACGTCCTACTTGCTCGTCCCCACTTTCACCTATGCCGAGAATTACCTCCCCTCTCACACACTGATGAGAAGCACGTTTTAGTGGATCCTCTAAAGGCAACTAACAGAATGAGATAAATAAAAATTTACTTCGGTCTTCAAAATATTACATGTTTTTATTTTTTATTGCTCATTCCTAAGGAACAAATTATGACTCAGCAATTTGATCAGAAGTGAAAATCAGCCTTTGCAGCCATAACCCTTTACCTTTCACAGTATTCCTGGGGTAAGCCTGTTATCGTGTCATTCAGTACAAAGAGGAACCTGTCAGAGTTCATTTAGTTAATAAGTATCTGTGCAGAGCACCTGTTTAAAAGACCACAGCTTGTTTTCCTGCAGACCCACAGCCACCATGGAGCTGAGTCTCTCTGTATGCATTCTGCTACTACTTTGTGGAACAAGGAGCTCAAACGGAGGAAAGATTTTGGTGTGGTACACAGAGGCCAGCCACTGGCTAAACATGAAGCCTGTACTGGAGACCCTGGTCGACAGAGGACACCAGGTGACCGTTTTGATCCCAAGCACATCATTATTCCTGAACAGCAGCGAACCTTCTCGCTTCTAGTATGAATCTTTTAACGTGCCCCTCTCAAGAGATGTTTAGGAAAAGTTTGTTGATGAGATCCTACATTTTAATATGTATGAAATGGATTCCATGAATACTGTTCAGATTTACCTGAAATTCATTAATCAAATGAAGCATGACTTGCAGATATCTTTAAAGTTTTTGGATGGGGTGGTAAAACCCGAAAGCATCAGGAAAAAAGCTAATGGAAGCAAAGTACG